CTTTGTCCCTCCTAGCATAGTCTGGGTGGCGTTTGTTATATATACCAGGCTCTTGCTCAATTAAATGCACAAAAACAAAAGTAGCAGCTTCATCAACCTTTCATGCCATCTAAAAAAGCATATGAATCACAGAAACGCGTTAGAACAGGTGAAACTGTGAAAGTACCCTGCAACCCAACTGTGAGAAGACTACCTTCCTCAGTTACCTGGGAGTTGAGTTTCTTAGTCTTCCACGAGATGCGTTGCAATCGCGTTGCAATCGCATTGCCGTTTCCTCAGTTTGTGCTGCTCCATTCAATTCCACGTATTCAACTCAGTCTGATAACATTTCTCGGAAAAAGCGGTTGCGTTGCGTTTGTCAGTTTCCTTGGTGTGCCCGCGCCCGATCGTCATGCTCATGTCGCAGTGTTCGTCATGTGTATATTACAAAACTTTCGATCAAACCTGAGCCCTGCTGGGCGCTGTGTATCTTGTGTACACCTAACACGGCGTTATGTTATCGTCGTGACAACACCGCTGAGAAGTATGTTGTCCCAGTTGCAGTTCTGAGTTTGATTCTAGGCCCGGAAGTTGATTGTCATGGCTCCTCTCAGATTCGCTACGAAAATTCTGCCGTAATATCATAACATAGAGCACAACAGCACCCCCCCCCACGTCTATCTCCTTAGATTGAGTAACAACCGTCAAAACGCCAAGTTAGAGATGGCCAACCTTCCGATGCAATATACACAAGAACTTCCGGTTACAGGACCAAAAGGTTTATCATACAACTCGCATGATAATTACGCAATTAATACGAAATGTTTCAGTAAAAGTACCTGAATAACATCGGATATAGGAAACTTCTAAATATTAAATGCAAACAAACCGATATTTATACTACATAGCGTCAGTTCTAGAAAAAAAAATTATTTTTTCATAGTGTGCATCCTATTGTGTCACAAATGTATAGCAAGGTAAGGTTTCCATCAACACAACAAACGTGGTTTTACAATCAATAAATATTCAGATTCAATTTTATTTTCTACCGCTATATGTTGCCGCACTATGGTCCTGGGGTCGACTCAGCCTCTGACAGAAATGAGTACCAGGAATTAATTAAATAATTTTCCTGGGGAGTAAAGCGCTGACAACCTTACCGCCATCTTTGAGCCGATTGTCTAGATAATGTGGGACCCTCAACGTCTCACAACCCTATGGGCCTCCGCCGCCTGTTACAGAGATAGCTTTACTTACTTACTTACTTACTTGTACCGCTCTATGTTTTTAAAGAAGTGGGAACGCAGAGGTCAGTGCACTCTTTGTTTCGTTTAGGATATTTTGCTTATCGCCCATTCATGGCATAATTCTGATCTAATTAAGCTTTATCTAATTTTGCTTTATACCTTACTGATTATTTGGAAGGTTTCACTTTAGAAAGTAACAGGTAGTTTTCTTTTTGTTGTTAAACCTACTAAGCAGGTCGCCTATGGATAAGGGAACTGCATGTGGTGTTGGAAGGAAGTAACTAACCAGATGGTACAACTTAGTGCTTCAGCAGCGATATTGAACTGTACAAAACATAATGTCCTATTTATATATAACCCAATAAATCTTTACCGTGTTCACAAAATTCCGCCGTTTCATCATATCTTTTTTATTGCTAGTGGGGCGGGACTAAGTCCCTTGTACTGCAGCCAATTCTGGCCTTTTGTACCAGCCCCAGATGATAGTTGAGGGTGATTGTGGAGCAATTGGTGGAATGAAGATTGGCAGGCGAAACCGAAGTACTCGGAGAAAACCTGCCCCAGCGCAACTTTGTCCACCACAAATCCCACTCGACCAGACCCTGGATCGAACCCGGGCCGCCGCGGTGGGAAGCCAGCGACTAACCGCTTGAGCGATGGCGCGGCCTCCATTTCATCCTAAGCCAAGAAAATTTAACCCAGTTCACACACTCGTATATTATTTTTCCACAATCTGTTCTAATATTTTTCTACAATCTTCGTCCAAACCCCTGAAGTGGTTTCTTTCTTTTAATATTTACCAACCAAGATTTCTTGCTTCACCGTTTGCCGTTTATTTCTCAGCTATTTCATCCTTGTTTATTTAATCGTTTGTAGCACAATTTTAGTCAGATGTACCACATGCTTTAACATTAAAGAGACTCTGAATTTTCTCACGGAGAGTGCTTATGAGGTTCATATGATTATCAGGACTAACAGCGATTATTTCCTTAAACAGCATTAGCAGATTGATCTTCGTAATGGTGATGTAGTGTGTATACTGCAAACTAGGAACTGAATGATGTCCATGCTTCAAAGCATTAATCACCATAATGTAGTTAAGTGAAGGTTGCGCAATCCAAAGTTCCTCATTGTGTGCGTGTTCCATTCATCTAATTATCCCATGCCTCACATCTCTCTGTACATTGAAATTGCTATGGTGCTGCGTAACATTAGCAATAATATAGTGCGTTCAATGACAGAGGAAACCTGGCAGCAGCGTCACTTTCAGCACCTGTTTTACAGTATTCTTATAAATGCGTGCATGTACAGAAACTGATGTGAGGGTATCAGCGACACGACTGCACTCTCGCTAGCGGGGAAGGGCACAGCAGTCGCGGAGAAACGTTCCATCCGCTCTACGCTGCTGTCAGGTTTCCTCTACGGTTGAACACTCTGTAGTAACTGCCGGTAGGTGGATCTTTCTGCAGTAACCTGCAGTGGTCAGTTTCGGTTATCTTTATGAAAAGCGATTATATAGAAGAGCTTCTTTAAACCTGTATTTTGTATTTTTGAAATGCTGGATGTGTTGATTGGGTTGTGAGCACTAGAGCTAGTAGTATCCAGATGTTCTCCCCAGGGCACAGCTCTGCAAAGAATGGTCCATGCCTTGGTAATATATTTTTGATTTGTTTTTCCCGTAAGAGAATAGCTAGTCAAACTTTTGCGGGTCGTTCTCAGCCCGCGGAGTCTCTGTTAAATTCTCTGACTCCGTCCGTGCATTTGTATGAATGAAGAAAATCGAGAATTTCTGGAGGATTTGCATGAAATTTGGTACTGGGGATTTTACTAAAAATGTCGAGCCATTTCGCTTTTCATTTATATTGCACAATTATCCTGCTACAATACATGAAGTCCTACCAGCGTTTGCGCACGCATCTCGAACCTAATTCGACAAAAATTTATCGGAGGTATAATTTCAGAGGAAACTGAAACGCATTTTGTTTGCAGCACAATTTTTTCTGAAAGTCTTACAGTTGTCCAGATGATTGTACTTAGGAGGAATGTTATCCTTACATTACTCAGCGTGCACATTCAGCAGTAAACAAGACGTTCTGGAGACAACAATGTCAAAGTCACTTTACGACTGGCGGTTTACTGCCAAATCAGTTCATCTTCGTGTCAAGCCCCTAGAGACTCACGACCGGATTTTTTTTTTCAACTGAACCCTTGCGGTCGTAGTCCTTATGTAACATCTCTCTGATAAGAAGATGGGTTGTCTCTTATGAATATGCTTGACCTTTCGTAATGTGTACGTATCGTACATATATCGTGTTACTGAAAATTCTTCCTTTTGCATTACATACAATTCATCTGTCAGTCAAAGCTTTGCCTGTCTTGCGTAGATGGCTTAGTCACTTGAATGGTCGTAAGCTTGACCACCGTCAGATTTAAGCCTCATATATTTTTGAAAACAACTAATCGCCAACTTTCCTTTCATACGGCACGGACTGCATAGAAAATGTCTCCAAACATGTCTTTACCGAACCATTGCCTAGCAACGATAGGATGGATGCACGTGCAGGCTCACAGACTGATAGGAGAGATTTCAGAAGTGCGCCGCTGATATGGGCTCAGATGTCATCATGTACATACCAAGTCGATTTTTGCTTCCAAAATAATGACAGTAGGTTGAAGGTGACCTCACAAGAACAGGAAGTGGAGATTCGAACTGGATTTAACATGCTCAGGAGAGGACCATGTGACATGTTGTGGTGAACGCTGTATTTAACAATTCGGTTATATAAAGTCGAAATGTTCTTGGCTGGCAGAATGAGGATCAGTTCCTCAGTAAGCTCTCTAATTTACATAGTTTGTGAGTTTGTTGCTCCGTGCTGGGTAGTTTCTGCGCTATTGAGACCGTTCCGAAAATAATCGTCTTCAGTTGGACCTAAAATGACCCTTGTAGTATTTCGTTTCATGACTAAGTATAATTTAGGATGAAATTTTAGCGAGCATTATTAACTTACCATCTGACACTTTCCGCACTTTCGTAAAATTTCCTTAGGTTCACCCATATATCGCCATATCGAAATAAAATGTTCCTTAAATTTCATTAGATCGAGTTATTACACCCTCCGACCACAAAATCAGTTCTTAGATCCTTGCTTTTATTTGTGAATTCTATTAACAGAGCAGCCAAGTTACACGTGCCACGGGAACCATATACACGCTCATATACGCCATCTATTTTTAATCCTTCAAACATTGTTGTTGTTGTTATTGGAGAAGGTGGGTTTACCCATGCACTTAGACCAGATATTCCCCCTGTGATATTCTACCAGTCTCTATACCCTACCGGTACTGGTGCGTGCCATCAGTCCCGACTCAGCCAGCGATTTCGGCCTCTACTGGCTCAGCGGTATCTAGATGCCTCCCCCCATCTACCAGAGTCGTTAGAGACTATTGTTGGGCGGGAAATGTCCTTACAAATTTTGCTCAGAAGTCTCCTTGAGACATGAGGTTCTTTTACGTGCCGTAAAGCTACGACACGGGACCCACGGCTTAAAGTCCCTCCCGGAGGACTTGTTCCCTGAATTTTTCCGCCCTTAAAAGTTCCACGACCTCCGCCGGGTTTGAACCCGCGTACCTTGAGTCACGAAGTGGGAACGTTACCTCTAGATTACGGAGGCCGCTTCCTTCAAACATTACTTTTGACGTTAACTGAAATGTCTTAACTTCCCGACTTCCCTTCATATATCTACATATTTCCTGTGTGCATTTGTTTTCTTACAGATGTTTAAATGCTGCTGCAGACGGAACATAGGACTTAACTGAATAATGACAAGACAGGTCGTCCCAGAGTAATGCTGAACACTCGTAGGTTCAAATCTTGGAAGATCGGCTATCCTCATTGGACGACGACGTGAAAGCAGATGTATTGTATTCGTATCTTACAAATCAGAAGACATTTTCTTTATTTCGGATACCACATTTTCCTAAAATCTGGCTACTGTTGCTTATGGCTTTGAAGGGCCTGGTATTCCCAGCTGAGGTCGCAGTGACCTCTCTCCATATTCAAGAAATAACAAGACGGAGTGTATGCAGAAGTTCGCATTGGCCTTAATGCGCACTCACTACAGGTAAAAACTTTAAAGTTACCCACACTATGGATACAGCGTCGCCAAATATATACAGTATACGAGTTGTGGACCTTAACTTGGCCTACGCTTTATGTATCTTGTTATTTTCTTGTACAATGAATTGGTTTGGATTTAATTTATAAATTCTAATTACGACTAGATGTGAAATGGGAATTATGTTAATTCGATGCAAAGTGAAATTAAATTAACTTTACGACTATCGAAAAGTGTGATGAAGTTGCAGAGATGAGACATTAAGACACGTGTCGATTTTTATGGATTTCAGGCAAAGAACTTATACAGTGGGTTCATGATATGCATTTGAATAAGTGATGATGTTAAAACAAAATGAAGGAACTTACTGTCCACTGGAAGTACGACGAAGGGTCAGCAAAGGGCCAGCGTGGCTCCAGCCAAGACCTATGTTTTGTGCGCTCCGTTGACCTGCCGACGTCCTGATCAGCCGCTGTTGTCACTTCCAGCACCGACACGCTCTTGTTGTCTTTGACCGTAGTAGCAGACACGAGGATCCTGGTTGTGCTGTTCCTCATGTCTTCGTCGAGTGCCTTCTTCTTGCTGCCGCCGACATGGTCATGCTCTTTGGCACCTCCATCTTCCTCCAGAAGTCCTCCGACCTCCACAGGAGCCTGTTGCTGAGTAGTAGCTTTGGTCGTTAGTTCTTCCATAATCAGCGATAGGGTCACTTGCACGGGTCTCTTTGTTGTCACGGTAACCTCCTCAGACAATAAAGGTGGACTGACACTAGTAGAAGTTGGATCTAACTTGTGGGTGGAAGGTGTCGTTATGTTTTCGGACGTAGCCAGTTCCGGCTCAACACTCCACAGTGTTGTGTTCTGATGTGTAGAGGAAGTCATGTTCTTCTGCAGCGATGCAGAATGGTGACTGTGGTGACCAGCGTGATGGTGACCATTCTTATGGCTGCTGAAACGCTGGAAGGCCGATGGAATGGCGACAAGGTCTGGGGAAACAAGTAGGGGTACTACGACGGCTGCCCCAACGACGCCACATGCAAGGATCAGTGCCATGATGAGGATTGTGGCCTTGCGTCCGCGTCTGGCTCTCCTACGCACACCAGCGCTAGAGCGCCCATAGATGCTGATGTTGGCTGCCGTGACGGCTGCAGCGTCGTCTTGCTGAGGAAGAATTGTATACTGAAGAGAGTTCTCACCATGTCTCACTGTTTTGTACATTGTCCCTGCGTTAGGAGGTTCTTGTACAAGAGTTTTCAACACTTTTTGGGTAACGAATTCTTCAAACTACTGTTATCTTCCTTTCTTGTAATGTTCCTTACTTTATGAACATTCTGATTTGAACAAGCTAGATGACTCAAAAATAAAAAAACACTTACGTAATTTTCTAAATACGATTCCTCCAGAAGTAATTTAGCTTCAGCATCAAAACACTTCACTCTCCTTTGGTTACAAATTAGCGTTTTATATCCATGACAAACATTTGTCCCCACGATTCTACTAAATTACAACAAACGTTTCTACAGCAATTATTATGAATTGTATTAAAAAACTTATGTGTACTATTACGTGTTATCTTCATTCACATGTCGTTTGTATGTGTTCCTTCAGTCTAGGCACGAACTGTGTTACAGGAATCGCGCTTAGGTCTGTATGGAATACAGCCCATACATCATCTGAACTGCTGGGCAGATCAGGCCACACGTGGTGCGAGCAGCCTGCAATTAGGAAACACAACTAGTGTTATTATCGTACATTCGGCACACACCACACAGCTGATATGAGCAGGCAGGCACACAGAACGACTCTCCGGTTTATCTTGCGCACGACAGAACCCATTGTGATCCCCTCCACCGCTGCGACGCGCGCGCCCACACGTACAGCCTGAAGTGAAGCTCGCTGTGTAATCAATAACAGAATTTCTTCCCCTTCGAAGTGGAGGTCGCCGTGGGACAGAGACCTTTTCCTCCATATGTCCCTGCGGTGTTTACCGTTGCTGAAGAAATAAGAAAAGGGCCTCACTGAGGATTTCTTTACGAGATGAGTGGCACAGAACAAAAGAAAATCAAGATGGAGGATTAGGGAAAGGTAACAAGCGATGAGCCAATCCATCTTGATTGTGTTTCATATAATCCGTTTTCTGAAAAACGTTTGAAATACACATTCCTAGAGCTGGCTCTACTCCCATCTTCAGGAAATTTTCTTTTGTATTTACATCGAGAAATGTATCTTTTGTATTAAATATTGTGACGAAATATGATCGTTGTTAGGCAGCGACTCGGTATACACGTTCCAGCAAGTACAAAACAATAGGAGTTATGTTCTGTGTTAGCCATGCTACAACTAGTTGCTAAGTTACTCAACAATTCCAGAAAACCACATAACAACAGGAGCTGCATTCCCTGTGGGCCATGCTACAACTAGTTGCTAGGTTACGCAACTATTCTGACAACAGAAGAGGTATTTTCTGTGTGGTCTTTGCCGAGGCTATATAACGAGGTTCTAGGATAACTGGCAGTTGCACCCGTGTGGAGGCGGCGTCGAATACCTCCACCGTGACCCTGCGAGTCGTAGGAGGCGACGAAAAGGGAGGTCTCAAATCTGAGACAGTAAAATATGGTCGCGAGTGCCAAAGGACTCGGACCGAGAAAGACTGCCCTGGCAAGGACCAGCAGCATATACAAAAGGCAGACCCGTCCTCTCGTCAGAGAGGGCGCCCCACAGAAACAAGACCGTAACTGTCAAACAGTAATAAATATCTGGNCGGTATAGGACAAGGTGCAGCCAGACATAGAAACTGGTATAAGAAGCTCAAACTTGGCGGTGGTCAAGCTTACAACCATTCAAATGACTAAGCTGCCGTTGTAGCATAAATTACGTAAGATAGGCATGATCAGCTCTGTAAAGCCTGTGCTGACAGAGGATTTGTGTGTAGTGCAAAAGGAAGAATTTCCGGTAACAGGCTATACACGTATATGCGAAATGTACACTTGACGAAAGGCCAAACATATTCATGAGAGACAGCCCCATTTTCTCGTCNGCAGCATATACAAAAGGCAGACCCGTCCTCTCGTCAGAGAGGGCGCCCCACAGAAACAAGACCGTAACTGTCAAACAGTAATAAATATCTGGTCACGAGCCACATATGAGGCTCGGAGCCAAGACTTACTGACTGACTGACCGACCGTCAGTCGCAATGTGACTTTGACTTTGACTGGCAGTTGAAAAATAGAAGAGGCTAAA